TTTAGATAAAATCAACACGCATACATTATTTTGATAATATTAAATTTCTATTAATTGTTTTTTTTAATTTCGATAGTATTTATTGTTTTGAGCTTTAGTGAAGTTATATGTATACATCAAATATATTAAAAAACAACAAAAAAATAATAGAACTAAAAACAAGACTATTATATAAACACATCAATGAAATACAAAAAGCTTCACTTATTAAATATACAATATATAAAATAATTATTAAATAACAATAAATATTACTTTTTTATTTTTTCCATTAATAAACATTGTGAGCCATATTTCAGTAACAGTGAGTTTGCGAACATATGTTCATATAAATTCTTTTTTACGTTTAGTATGGAAGGAGCTTGGCCCCGAAGTTTATTACGCCTTTACATTAATTACACCCCGTATATGTACTTTAAATCAATTTATCTCAGAAATATGACTGCGCGCCGATTCGTTTCAAACTTTCAAAACACAATCAATCTGAATTAATAAAAATCTTTCAAATTTAATTAAAATTGTCTTAAAACTTCTAAAGAACTTATTGCGAAAGTCAAAGTATGTTTTTTTTATTTAAAAAAACTATGGCCATCTTATCCGAGTTTACCCTATCTATCTCATTCACGTTGACGCGCAAACTCAGTCATACGTTTCACTCGATGCGAGCAAACAGTACATGCATATAGCAAATATTTATTCACAAAATGAGTTGGACGTGTGATTTAACTTCACTAGTGCGCGCTCGATAACATGTACTATGCTCACGTAAAAAACTTTAAAAGCACTAACAAAATCATATTATTTGAATATTCATATATTGTGTTTAAAATTTTACGTAAAATTTTAATATAGCAAATCAGATCAGAATTGTTGCAATTTAATATAGATATGAAACATAATTAGGAATAGTTGTATAATTAAATTAAAAGTTATTCATCATTAAGCAAAGACATAAATTAAAATTAAAAGCTATAACTTATATAAAATTGCTGTTATAATAGAGATTTTCAAACAGAAAATATTTGATTATAATGTACAAGCTGGAGGTTTCTTTGCAGCAGAGAAATCTTACAATTGCTTTATCCGGTCAGATTGCATATAAAATATGCGGCACTAAGAAAATCTGAAGGATCGTGGACAAAGGAAAAAGTAACGACAGGAAAATGCGATCCAATTGTAAGAATTCCTGCTCAGAAAAAGATAACCAATAACGGTGAATTGCCGGCTGTAAATTTTCTCTCTAGTGCTTTTAACTGAGTCGGTTGAAAAGAATCGTCCTCTCATACTGTGTTATCGAGAGTTTCGAAGTAATTTACAAAACAAAATAGTGTTTTCGGCATCGTTGCCGTCAGACAAATTCCATATTCCTATAGACACTCGTATTAATTGAATTCTCCGGTTGCGTTTCGCGTTACTGTACGAGGTAAAACGAGAATAAATTAGTGAGTAGCTTTTGAGAAGATCGAAAAGAGTGAGCATGAGTGAGCAATAAATATTTGAAAATCTTCTCTCGCAAAAAACGTATGACGTCGAAAAATAATAAGATGCGATTATAAGTTGTACAGATGTGTTCTTCATATTGTTTGTTAATTTAATCAAAATCTGCTGCTATATTTGGCTAATATATTTAATTATACTAATAATTTATACAATATAAGTATTGTTCATCGCTTATATTACAATATACATACTCGAATAATTGTAGAAAATATTACAAAATTTAATTTAAAAAATTAACTAAATTGAAAAGTTAAGAATTGAAAATTATACGAAAAGGTGCAAATTAAAATTGGAATTTTCTCGTTAAGCGATTCGAAATAATATTCAATCAAGCTTGTATCATTAAATTGTGTATTAAGCTTGTATCGCACTAAATGTAAAATTGTAATCTAAAAAAAATTTTAATTTGTGACTAGTAACTTTCGATTTGTTTATATTGTTGTGATTCGTGAAAGAGATTAAAGAACTTGTACGAGATAAACTTTTAGTAAAAGCGCAATAAATAAACTCGAAAGAAAATGATTCCAGGTTTTTGTCAAATTTTTTTTCTGTTTTCTTGTTGCGCAGTATGAAACTTAATGGCGAGGATTTTGTGTGACAAAGATACCAGTCGTACGACTCGCACATTTCTCTTGCAGTCACGTCTTTTCGCGGCGCGCTTCCGCTTCCGCTACGTCAACGTTCTTTATGTATGAGTAACACGGACGCGTTTTGTCACGACTGACTCATTGGCGCAACATAATTACACCTTGCGACAAAGACTAAAAACTTACGGCAATGTTCATCACTCGTAGTGTCGACTTGAGTAAAAGCAAATGAAATTACAAGTGATGTTACAAATTAATGTTATATCGTGAATCATGAAATGATGATAGTTGATATTAACAAAGTTATTGCAAAAAACATTTCTTGGTTTTAAACAGATGTTATAATAAATAAGTAAAAATCAATTTCCTTGATTATAATAAAATAGAGATATATATATTTTCAGATAAAAATAATTTTTCCGGAACATCTATAAATTCTTCATTTTTTTCATAACAGACAGTGTTTTACTCAGTTGGGTGTTTTATATGTAACATATTTTGCGTTACAACTGTCGACATGATATAACAATCTATCACACGCGCTGAGCTCAGCTCAAAAAACGAAATCCGGCAAGCGGAATGAATAAAAAGTGCGAATTTCGCAGCTCGCTTTGCCGTCTAAAATGATGCGAAATTGGCATACGGATTCTCCGTGACGTCGACATTATTCGACAGAATTTGCGGAGATGCACAAAATGTGCGATTTCTGATCGATGAAAGTCCAAGAGTTTTATTTCGCGGCTAACAATGGTAGCTAACAATGAATACTGCATTTCTTTCGTTTCCCTATGAATGAAATATATTACGGATTGAATTTTTATCAATTTTACTGTATGGGAAGACCGTATAAAAGAAGCCGTTCAAGCCGTTTAAATAAATATCTGCCTGCGTACCGTTACACAATTTATTCACAGAGAGAAGCAAGAAATCTTAATTAAAGATTACATTAAAAGAGTGATTAATCAAGATAATTAACGTCATCAGGCGCTGACAAAGTACATAAACATTCGTCAAGTAGAAATGCGAAACCGTTTCGGAACAGGAGTTCCTGCAATATACACTATGATTAATCGATCGAATGTGTCGTGCGATGCAAAAAGTTCGACGACGCGTGTATTTTGACCGTATAATGCACAAATTGCATATGTGCATTACATAAGCAAAACCTTGAACCTGTCACTAATAATTTACAGTCGCTATATATTCTGTTATTTTGCATTTTCTCGCATTTTAAAGAAGGAAGCACGAAAACAATATTAAATTTGGACTATGCTTCGATATTATTTTTCACTATTTTTATTTATAAGGTGCATAATTTATGGATTCCATGATAAATAATTTATTATATTTTGATGGCAATAAATAGAAAAACAATAAGAAAGCTGAAAATACAATGAAAATATCTCCTTTCGTGAGATTAGAAGATGTGTCTCGCTCGATTGCAGCAGAAGTGAATCAAACCAAAGTAGTGCGACTCAACGCCATATCGACCAAGATAAGATGAGAAGAGAGAAAGAGCAGAAAAAGCGCGACTAAGCGCGACCAAATGTTTATGACCTACCGTTAAACATAAAAAGTTTATAGTACGCTGAAGAACTTGGAAACGAAATTAAGAAAAGTGCAACCATTGTTTGCGATATTATATTTCAATGTATTGTCGAAGACGTGATAAAACCTGCGCGATATGACATTTACAATAATTATCATAAACATTGCATTCGTATTTATATAACGCAATAATAAAACAGTTTCAAGAGTTAATATTTTTCGCGTAAATAATAGTGTCGTTTCATGCTCTTCAGCTACGCAAAAACGTGATTAGTTTTATCTTACGACTTCCGCGAATGCCGAAAGTTCTGTTGATCTTATTTCGCCATCGTTTCATTCTCTGATTTACCCAACATACGGAATTAGGTTTCTGCCATTATAAACTTTTCTACTTATGTGACCAATTAAAGGGTCTCCGCTTTTACGAAAAATTTCGCTTTCCAATTCCGACATCAAATTAAACTTTAAATTTAATATATTAACGAAGAACTTTTTTGGCTGGTACTTTAATATTTATTAAATTACGTAAAGTGCATTTTAATAAAGGATAAATTCA